ATGTTTGAAACGAAATTGGTCATGTTAACAAACCGATGCTAATCACATAATGCACAAAACGAAAAGCCTATAACAGGCGTTCGTACAGCTTTTTAAGGGTAAATGCCCTTACCATAAATGCAATTGCAAAAATTGCCTAGTAGTTTGTTCTCAGCCAGAAAAAACGAGAATATTGTTGTAATTTTATAGGACAACCTATGATTTTCCAGGACATTTTTCATGCGTTTCCAATGACTGGAAAATTGGTCAACTTTTTCTTGATGAATCAATTCGTCAGTTGGTCAATACAAAGACAACAAACAACAAACAGTAAAATAAATGTCTTTTTTTGTGCAACTAACATAAAGAAAACCCAAAGATACTCAGATTGAGCAAATCCTCACACTGGAAAAGCTGAAACCAAAGAATGTCCAGCGTTTGAGAGAAAATACACTTTATTTGATTAATGAATGAGAAAGATATTTGGCGATATATTTTCCGTCAATTGACTAATGAACGTGACTATTTATTTCAGGTCTAAACTCGAGCACAGCCATTTTCCTGTCGGTGGTACTTACATTGCCCATGTTGAGGTCATGCACCAGCAGGTTCTGGTTGTTGCTGACTGTCACCTCCAGCAGCTCAGTGCTCTTCCCCAGCCCTACGGGGTAAACCGGCAGGCGATAATCGTGCTCCGACAGCTTCTCCTGCTTGATACCCATGGCGTGAACATAGTCTCCCAGCCCCGCACACCCCATGCGGCCACCCTGGTAACCCATGCTGCAGTCGGGCGAGTCACGCTCCTTCTTCAAGATCATTTCTTGAGGCGGAAGGTCCTGCATGACGGAGTGGGCAGCCAGCCGGGTGAAGCTTGTCACCGGAGGGAGGTGGCTGAACATTATCATGCCAGAGCCGAAATTGGAGTCCATGCTCCCGTTGGAGCGCAGGTATTCATTGCCTAGTTTGTCTTGAATGATGTTCATGATGGATGCCGGCGGGCAGGAAAACTATGGGTTGGCAATCAGTGTCATCCTGTGAGAAGAAAAAAAAAAAGAGAGAGCAGAAGTCAACATTAAAACAGGGGTCAGTTTTAGGGAGGTCCTATAACTAGCAATCAATCTGTGACGATGCACACAAATAATAGACAACAGATAATTACACAGCCAGTTAAGCTCAGTCTTCAGGAATCAGTGGCATGGCCTCTGATCCAACAACTGGGTGCTTAGTCGGATTAAAACCGACGGTTTATGGGTCAAGAAAAGGGCTGCAGTCTGGCAGCATGACAAGGGGAAACAAGCAAAACAGACAAAGCTGGGGGTATAGTGTACACAGTCCTCTGTGGTTGATTACAGTGTTTGTACGGTACTTTACAGGGCAGAAAGGTCACTGGCTGCAATGCTAGCCACAACATGAGATGAGGAATGAGAGGATTGAAGTAGTGTTAATCTGTTTGATGGGCCTGTCTGACCCAGTCATCCTATTTGCATGAGCTTATCTGCCAATGAGAGTGCACAGACTGCATTAGAAACACTGGTGTAATTACGTAGTCTCTGGATAAACAAATGCATGTTTTGTAATCGCTTTGAGCGCCATGTCTAATGCAGACATTTGAGTGTTAACATTCAACTTAAATATGATTCGCTGTGATGAATACAATATTAAAAAATGTGGCAACTTTTGGAAAGCTGTCTCTTTGAAGTAACATTTTCCTGCATTTTTCACTAAAGTTAAAATATAAGATATAATAGTAACATCCTCTACGGTTGTCTTTGCTCGCTCCTTGTACGACCCATCCAGCTAATGAGGGCTATCTGGCTGCTGCTGCCAAATGCCTTCAGCTCTGATGGTGAGCTAGCAGCAATAACCTACTCAGCTAACACAAAGACAACTTTTAATAAATGAAACAAGACTTTAAACCGATCCGAACAACTTCCGCTTTCTCAAAATGTGTTAAAGTAGACAACACGTGCGTTGTGGACCCTAAATCTGCGTTCATGTATAAAAACTACCAAGCTTTTTCGCTGTGCAATTAACGTTAGCTACCTAGCTAACCATTTGGCTAACCACCCTTGCGGGGCCCTTCTTCTTTGTGATGCAGGATCAGGCAATAATTAATATGGCCATGCAATAACAGCAGCAGCCCTGCGCTTGATGAACACCAGTAAACGAGCAGTTGTGAACAGGAAAAAAACAGCTAAAGCACGTGGAAAGTCTGTGCGTTTATTGACATGTAAATAAAGTTAGTTTTGTACTTTTTCCTTTCAGTTGAAATTAAAGAATTAGTAGCAGATATCAGTGCATACTAGCGTCACACCAGACGTTAAATCAGCGGGCATGAGAAATGATCAAGGACGAACGCAGGTTAGCGCCTGAGAAAGAAAACAACCAACGCGACTAATCTCTACATCGTTTCTACTTATTCTTAGCTGTTTCCCCCCCCAAGTCGTTGAGTTGGTTTCCTGTACAGTGAACCGGCTGTGGGTGATAGAGCGACAACACAAGCATGACCCATAACAAACGGCCCACACAACTCCAGCGAACAATGATGCTCGTCCGGGGCTAGCCGAGATAGCTAACTTAGCAGCTAACTAGCGGTAACGTTAGTGCGCTTTGTTGTCTGTCCCGTGCGAGGAGTTCAACCGCTACAGCGACCGCCTCTTCCCCCAAAGATGGATTTTATGAATTTCTCTTACCGGTGCAGGACCATGACCTGCTATTTTGGCTCGTGTAGTTCACCCTCAGCTGTCCGTTTCAATATCTAAAGCCAAAACATTGTTCTCCCGCAGCTGCTGCGTTCTTCCATCTTGCCTCGGCGCAGAGGATTCTGGGTCCTGCAGGCGGACGCGTCCCGAAGACGAGAGACGATAAAAAAATAATTAAATAAGTCATATTTATTTTTTTATTATTAATGGTATGAAAGAAAATCCTTTTCAGGAACCCTGAAAAACAGATATAGATTTATTTATAAAAATATATTGTACAATTAAACAATTTTTATTGTACTATTTCATAGTTCTTCGATGGGCTAAAATTCATGCTTTTTTTGTAATTCTTGCACTTCAATCTGCAAAGTTTGGCAATGGAGGGACAGAAAGCCACTGCAAAAGTCTTAACATATCTTACTGAGATTCTCCTTCAGATTCTAATATAAGACAGTTTAAACATATCCTTTATTGGAGTGCCACAATGTGTATTTTATCGTATATAAAAGTGTAATACTAGTTTAGTATAGTACTTGAGTAAATGTACTTAATTGCACCATCAAGCACAAGTTACAGCACATCACATCCAGTATTTTGGCATATTTAACAAAAAAATAGCAACTAATGGTTTCTTTCTTTTGTACCTGCCTTGTTTTGGTTTAGTGTTTCGTTTAGTAATGTAGGAAAAATGACTTCAATCCTTTTGTTGTTTGTTCAATTTCAACAAGTAACATATTCAAAAATGTCCGCCATTAATGAAAGGAGGAAGAAATACCCACCTCGAATGGCAGTATAAAATAATGATTCCTAAAATTCAAATGGCTGAATTGTTCAAACCACTCCTCAGACCAGCCGTCCAGATGATCATGACAGATACGTATACGTCTAAGAGCACATCAGAGTCAAGCCTCACACCCCCCACTCCTAATTGCAATTGCTATTGAACCAATTAATTCAGAAAGCAGAGAATCATTGAAATGCAGACATTATAGTAATGCAAAATAAGGTTTTTGATGTCCCTGCTCCTTTTAATATCATCCGTGATGACAACCCACACGGCTGTCAGTGATATCTTTGAGATCATTCTCATGTTGGAGTGTTTAAATATGCATGATGGTTGACTGATGAACTGAGTATAGATGAAAGTCAGTGATTATGAGTGTAGTTCAAGGTTAATAACTTTCATCATCTTTGAATGCAAACCAATGAACATATTTTCATCAAGTTATATTTTACCATTCTTGTATTGTTAATATTATTTAAGTCATAGTTTGTCTTTTACAGCATCTTCAGGGATTATTTGGAAATTTTAAAATGTAAACATCCTGGGGGACATAACATAAAAAACTAATACATGGTGGTATTTAATTGGCTCACTCCAGCATTCTTAGACTTTTCAGGATTCAGCGTTTACTCAACATTTCAATCAAGGCAGCATTTTGATTTAGAAAACACGAATAATTTAAAAAATGTCAACATTTGAAAACGCCTTTTTTCTGTTTGTGTAGTAGCTGAATTTGACCTTAGTGTTTCTAAAATCCAAACATGCATGGCTTTTAAAAGTAAATAAAGGCGTTCATATTTGTGTGTGGCCTATTTACACATCCGTGAGACGCAGAGCAACATTATCATTCATTTGGAGTTGTGTTTCTTGTCACCTGATGGATGTTAATCCAATATTCATATCTATCTAAATGCTCCATTGTATTCACAAGCTAGTCACTGTCTGTCTGCTGTTTGGTGCTGAGCAAGAAGTGTACAGTATGTTTTTAGAGTTTTATCGCTGAAAACAGCTGCCTGCTGCGACCTAAAATGACACTCTGTGAGAGCAGAGGTGGAGAAACAAAACCGCAGTCTGTAAAGCCAAAACAATGAGCTGAAAGACGGTAAAATTGCAGAGAGGAACTGTGGAGTCGAGTGATGATTCTCTTTTGGTTTGTACAAGTAGACATGTGATCCATTGTTGGTATAAAAAAATATTCATCATAGGGTTGCTTTAAGTATCTTTTCGTAGTTAGTTAGGCATCATTCAGTTCAAACTTGAAATACATCCTGGCACAAACACACAATAGCACATAAACCAACAGACACAAAGACAGGACATCCTGTAAGTGTGGTGTTACTTCAATGTCCCGTTCTGAGTCTTGTATGGCAATCCAAGGTTAGGAAATGTCATCATGTGGCTCAGCTTTCCATCAGTCCCTTCTATAAGCTGAGTGTTTGGGACATTGAGGTCAGAGACACTACGACTTCTGCACTTTGTCTCACGTCGCATGCCATTGACTCCCCTCATTGCAAAGAGGACAGAGGACACAGACCACCGCTATCAACGATCATGAACATGAAAATCAGTCCGATGTTTTCATGTGTGAAATCTTTGGCGATTTTTGTATCATATAACACAGACGGTTATCAATTCTAACTCCTCATTAATAATTCAGCCCATGCAGCATGTCTTTGTTCCAACTCCCTCCTCCCCTAAATCCATCCCAACCTCACACACACACACACACACACACACACACACACACACACGCACACACACATACCCACCTACCCACCCACCCAAACACACACGCACACACAAATAATTTTGATACAAACGCTGAATTTCCTGTAGTTTGTAGTTTGGTGGTTGCCTGTGTGTGCGCTGATTTGGATTCCTCTCACTGGGAAAGCCTCATGACTACACATAACAGATGGCGTTCCTGGCCGTCTACGCTCTAATCCTCAATTGTCAGGAGGATCACAGCCGTGTACAAATTCCCTCTACTGAGATTGTCAGTAACGTGTGAGTTATTAGAAACCTGTGCAGTGGTGAGACTTGCGCTGTGGGGATAAAATAACATTTGGATGATTTTATTTGGTTCACTGATAGTTGATATTTGATGGCACATGCTACAAATTAGAAACTCGGTCGATACTACACCCAATTTATTAGGTGTTGTATACAGAAGACAGGGCGTATACACTGGTAAACTTATTTTGTGGTCACGGTTATACCCGACTGATCAAACTAGCTTATTATGTTTGAATGGGCTTACAACTTTTGTAACTAGATATATATTTTTTATGAAGACAAATTGTTCCATATTTTGGGAAATGCACTTATTTGCTTTCCTGCTGAGAGTTGGATGAGAAAAGCGACACCACTCTCATATTTGTACGCCAAATAAGTAGCTGCGACCAGCAGCTGTTTATCTAATCTTTGCATAAAATCTGTAAACAGTTACAGTGAGGTTGCCACACAACCAATGGAGACTCCAGGAAGTTACAGCGCCCTGAGAAACAGTTAATATCCCCTGTAAACCCTTTTGCACTTGAGTTTTTGTATGGATTTAACAAACGCAATATAATGTATTAATTAGTGAGCTTCAGGGTGCTAGTAGGCTGATCTCTTCTACCTTTAGATAGAGCCAGACTAGCTGCTGTTTTAATAAAGCATTTCTTTTTCCTTTCAAAATAAATGGTAGAACAGTATGATAGTTACAATTCAAATACCATTTTGTTTGATGTCAGTTTTATCACCTGCAGCTGGGATGATGAAATATCAGGTCTTACAATATAACTAAAAGGTGATATACTTAAATAACAAGATTAATCTGCATTCATTGTATGAAATATTCCAAAATGATCTTGAAATACCCAAATGTCTACAGCCCTTCTTTCTCATCTTCTGTCTAAAGCAGCTGTCACCCTGGGAGCCATCCTCCTCTTTCATTTACGACTTAAAGATAATGCAGAGATCTGTTATTGTTCAAGTGACGGACAATATTTGATCTACTACTCGTCCGGTGGTGGAAAAGTTAAAGGAGACTGATTTAGCATTGCACTCCTGTAACATTATCCAATTTTAAAAATTGTTTTTCATCGTCTTTAGCCCCAACTGACGCCGACTCATGTGACTTCACTTGAGACAATTTATCAGATTTTGTGCAGCTTGCTCTGGCGCCACAAAATACTTTACACAACCCTTTTACATATGCAGTAGTACTCCCCAACACCTATAAAGAGCCTTTAATGTGTTAAATCAGAGGGTTCCCCTGTAACATCGCTAAAACCGTTAGCCAAATTAAGATGGAGTGGAGGGACTTTAATATAAATGAACGTCTGTTACATCCAAGCCCTTGCCAAATTAGTTCACACAAGCTCTCTCTCTATCGCAGTATACCGGGTTGTGGTGTCTGGCGTCTGTGGCGAGCTCACCTGCATTCATGTTATAGGGACTTGCCCACAGACAGTTTTTGCGTAGTTGTTCTCAGTGCCAGAAGGAGGAGACAGCAGTTCCGCAATGTTATGGAAAAATGTACTTAATAATAATAATAATAATAATAATAATAATAATAATACATTTTATTTATATAGCACTTTTCATAAAACTCAAAGACACTTTACATTAAAATCATCATATATAAAAGCAATACACTAAAAACATAAAATACACAATAGTGGTCACACATTAAAAGCAGTTTTGAACAGGTGGGTTTTGATCTGTGATTTGAATATGGAAAGGTCAGTGCAGTCTCGGATGTGTTTGGGGAGAGAGTTCCAGAGGGAGGGGGCAGATATGGAGAAGGCTCTATCACCCCATGTCCGGTGCTTGGTCCTAAGTGGAAGAGACAGGAGGTTGGCATCAGAGGAGCGGAGCCGACGGGATGGAGTGTGGTGGTGAAGCAGGTCGGTGAGGGAGGAGGGGGCCTGATTGTGGAGGGCTTTATGAGTGAGGAGAAGGATTTTGTATTGGATCCGTTGTGGGACGGGGAGCCAGTGGAGGTTCTGGAGAACAGGGGTGATGTGGTCGCGGGAGCGGGTGTGGGTGAGCAGGCGAGCAGCAGAGTTCTGGATGTACTGGAGTTTATTTAGGATTTTGGATGATGTGCCGTGGAGAATGCTGTTGCAGTAGTCAATTCTTGAGGTGATGAAGGCGTGGATCAGAGTTTCAGCAGCAGATGAGGAGAGTGATGGGCGGAGACGGGCTATGTTTTTTAAGTGGAAAAAGGCAGTTCTGGTGATTTGTTTGACGTGGTGTTCAAAGCAGAGGTTGCTGTCAAACATGACTCCGAGGTTGCGGATGTGTGGGGAGGGAGACAGAGTGGAGTTGTCGATGGTGAGCGAGAAGTTGTGACTGGTTTTGGTGAGGGATTTGGGACCGATGATGATCATGTCAGATTTATCACAGTTCAGTTTGAGGAAGTTGGTTTGCATCCATGATTTAATGTCAGTGAGGCAGTTGGTGAGAGTGGAGTGAGTAGCAGTGGTAATGGCCTTTGTGGAGATGTAGAGCTGGACATCATTGGCGTAGCAGTGAAAGTGAAGACCATGTTGACGGATGATGTTACCAAGAGGGAGCAAGTACAGGATGAACAGAAGAGGACCAAGCACCGAACCCTGGGGGACGCCTTGAGACAGAGGAGCAGTGGTGGAGGTGCAGTTGTTGATACTGATGAACTGTTGTCTGTGAGATATGATTTAATCCAGGAGAGAGCAGTTCCGGTGATGTTGAGGGAGGATTCGAGGCGGGAGAGAAGGATGTTGTGGTTGATGGTGTCAAAAGCTGCAGTGAGGTCGAGGAGGATGAGAATGTTGAGGTGACCAGTGTCTGAGGAGAGGAGGAGGTCGTTGGTGACTTTGAGGAGGGCTGTTTCAGTGCTGTGCTGTGAACGGAAACCGGATTGAAATGGCTCGAACAGATCGTTGGAGATGAGGTGGGCTTTGAGTTGTGTGGCGACAATGCGTTCCAGTATTTTTGACAGAGAGGGAAGATTGAACTTAAATTAAAAGAGTATGTTGTCAAGTTAATTGTGTGGCTATATGGAGCCTGAATGCACAAACCCTCCTATTTTATTACTTTAAATAAAAGTAAGACTTTTAAAAAAAGTAAAAACAAAAACAAATTAGTAATTTAGTTTATGTTTAATTGCAAATAATACACAAAAACACACTTTAAAGCCAGACATACACTCAGTTGCCAGTTAAATGAATGCACAGACACCTCTGTATAATGCAGTTAATGAGTTTAAAAGAAAAGCAGCTTTGTTTAAGTAACTTACCCCTCATAAGCTCCAGTCTCTCTTTTTTGTGAGATTTCAAATAGTGTATAAAATTACACAGCTCCCCAGAAACAGCAACTAAAAACAGTACACATAGGCAAACACTCCAAATCAGTTAATTACATCACTTATGGATAAAGTGCTCAAATACCTTGCACAATTATCTAAAGAGCACTTCATCAAAACAAATTACGCGATGAACTGGTTTTGGATTGTGTTTTTTAAGAGTGCTGGCCTCTTTCGTGTCTGGAATACTCCCTAAAGGTCTGAACAAAAAACACTTGAGAGGAGGGTCAGCTGATTAGATCAGTCAAGGGCTTCTTCATCACACCTCTGTGATAGAAACTGGAATTATGCATTAGTTATTAATAGTAGTACTTACATGCAATGCAGACATTTGTGTCTGACTAAAACAAGGGCAAAGAGAGCCAAGGGCGTAGCATCCTTTTCGGGACCGTCCTTTGGGGGGATACTTGTCCAGGAAATCCTCCTCTCTAGTCCAATCCAATGTCTAAATCAATAAGAAGACTTCACAGGAAAGAGGAGAAGCACAGATTTAATGTAAGACTTAAAATGGGCCAAGCCTGAAAAAGTACTGTACACCTATTCCGTTATTGTTATTTTACTCAACATTGTTACCTTAATTTAATTTGCTAATACGCCACAGGTTAACAGGGATACAAATAATTACTGTAGCCTAGCCAGTAAGTCAATGCTCCCAATATAGCCTGAATTATATGCACAGAGATCGTCCTTCCAGTAGATGGCACAGTTTAACTTGAAAGCAAAGATTCTCCGATTTCATCACTCAGGCTCTGTGTGTCCCTCCATGCTGTTAATCACACGGAGGATCAGCTTCATTGAAAATGCAATGTAAGCACTTATGGGGAATTAATGAATACATTAATCTACTAATGAATTAATATAAAAATTAAGTCGTACACTGATTTAATTGACCACATGAACTACACAGAAGAGTCGAATTGTCCACCTCTCCCTCACTCTCTCTCTCTCTCTCTCTCTCTCTCTTTACACACAAACGCAGTCTCGTGTAACTCTCCCCTCCTCTGTCCCTTCCCCCTTCCCTCCCTCTCCTCACATCTCTTCCTCGCACACACGCACTCACCTCTCCATTCTCCACAGCCCACCAGAAGCTGTGAATGGTAGACAGCTGCTCGTATTTCGCTCCGCTGGTGAACACCACGCCAGTCAGAGTGAGTGGAGCCTGAGCTGAGCGCACAGCCACAGTCAGCGGTCTTCTGATATTATGTAAAATAAGAATAGTGGATTGTTTTATACAACAAAGGGATAAAATCAAAACTTTAAAAGCACTCACATACGCCTGTTTTTTTAATTTGATTCCCAGGATTTACGCGCGCTAAAGTGACCATGGCACGTTTTACGCACTGCAGAAACAGTGTTTTGGAGGCTCAAATAACCCAAACCATGGATTAAACAGCAAGTACTTTTCCGTATACTTCAGGAGAGCTCAAATGGCGGCACTTCGTAGAAAATTTGGCGAAGACTACCAGGTGGTTAACACAAATCGGGCTACCACTTTTTCTGCCCCAGTTAAGAAGAAACGCCAGCGCTTCGTGGACAAGAACGGTCGCTGCAATGTGCAGCACGGAAACCTCGGCGGAGAGTCCAGCAGGTACCTCTCTGACCTCTTCACCACTTTGGTAGACCTAAAGTGGCGATGGAACATGCTCATCTTCCTCCTAACATACACGATCGCTTGGCTGGTCATGGCATCTATGTGGTGGATCATCGCTTACATCAGAGGAGACCTGAATCACGGCCACGACGCGTCCTACACTCCCTGCGTGGCCAATGTTTACAACTTCCCCTCAGCTTTTCTGTTTTTCATCGAGACTGAGGCCACGATCGGTTACGGCTACCGGTACATTACAGAGAAGTGCCCGGAGGGCATCATCCTCTTCTTGTTCCAGTCGCTGATGGGCTCCATAGTGGACGCTTTTCTCATCGGCTGCATGTTCATAAAAATGTCCCAACCTAAGAAACGCGCAGAGACGCTAATGTTCAGTCAGGACGCCGTGATTTCTCAGCGAGACGGCAAACTGTGCCTCATGTTCCGTGTGGGCAACCTGCGGAACAGCCACATGGTGTCTGCTCAGATCAGGTGCAAACTCATAAAGGTAAGCACGAGCGCCAGAGACTCTCTGATGATAAGAACTCCCTGAAAACTAACTGACGCGCAGGAGCTGAGTTGAAGTTGAGCACATGCTGTACGTAGATCACACCTTCTTTAACCAACACAGTAATAAAATGATAGAACCACACAGAGTTACATGGAAATGGTATGATGGTATGCATTCTAATGAATGCATACCATCTTTCAGCCCTTTTAAAATTGAAGCATATAGCTATATGCAAAAAAATAAAGTTCAGGAAAAGTAAATAAATAAAGCCAAACAAACAAACAAGGTCCCACCACACAATATACACCTTGTTAAACAAAACAGGCTTAAGGTAGCATTTCTATACTCCTCTAGCTGCAGGGTGGTGAGGCTGACTGGTGCAGCTCTGAGAAAAGACAGAAAAGCGCTGCAGTGTAGATGGACGACACTGCGTCCAGCATCAGTGGTGACACCTGGACAGATAGGTGTGTATCAGTAAGTGGATGTGGCAGTGAGATGGCCCCCCGAGGAAGAAAGTTATGCTTGGTGAATCAACAGTGAGAGGGAGCCTCACATGCTACTACAGATCACTGGAGTCCGTAAAACAACACTCCAGGGAGAGACCATGCGGGCATAAAGAGTATTTATGGCATCCATAAAGAAATGCATTATTTTCTATCTTTTCTTAAGGGGGTATTTTTTTATATTTCTGTTCCCTGGGATATGAAATGACACAACAACAAAAAAGGACAATAAATTCAGCTGTTTCAGTCACATCGTTGTGTGTTTAAATCCGCCGCACTATCTGTGTTACTACGTTGGTTATCCACTAATGAAGATTTTAGGGGAATAGAGCTAAAAAAAACAACTCACACTCTGAAAACAAGCAACAATGCAGAAAATCACCAGGGCCAGTAAGTAGCAAGGTCGACTGACTCCTCTTTTAGTTGTAATAGAGCTCCTCTCAGCCACATCCATGTTCAATGTGCAAAATTGGCCATATAGAAGAAAAACAGCATTAGTGGGGTGCTTGGAGCTTGTTTATGTCTGCGTTCTCCTCTGCACAGTCACATCGAGCACTGCGTTGGTCAGCTTAATGATGCATACAGGCAGGCAGGAAGGACCGAGTTACAAGCATGGAGGGAGTGAACACCCCCATAGGCATGAAGTACAATCACACATGTCTCTATTAACTAATCTCACCTCTCCTGTGAGACGGAAGTTCTGTTTCTCAATCAGAATGTCTCCATCTGTGCAACACACCTATGAGATTTCAAATCTTAGTTCACCAGCACACTGGTACTTATAGATAGGATTTTTTTTCTTTAAAGCAATGGCACCAGAAGTAGGAGAAAATCAGGTTTTGTGTTAGTTAAAAAAGGAATGCATCACTGAGGCGCAGGGATTTATTTTACTGGAGAGCCACTTTCCTTTACCTTTCCTTCTGGACTGCAAGAAATACAATCAGTATAAATTCCAAGACCTTTCTGACAACCACACATTTTTTTTACACACCCTCTCTCTGAGAAATACAATAAAAACCGTATCCACTGTGTGCTCCTTAGTGGGTTTTTTCCTATTTTGCTTCAGGGCTTTAACCTTATTCTTTCGCTTCAAAGACTCTCTTACCGAGACAGAATTTTTGCAGCAGCTCTGCCAGAGTACATAATAGAAGAAAAAAAATGAGTCATTGTGCGTGAACAAAGGCATTGTTTAGATATTACACATCACACAAAAACCCTCAAATATAAAAGACTTAATTATTTTAGACTGAATGCTTTCAGTGCACTCCCCGTAAAGAAATGTTGGTGGTGCTGTTGAACTGCAACCCTTTTCAAGTCAAACCTCATCATATAAAGTACTCAGGCATTAATAGCAGAGGAAGCATTTTAACTTGTATAGAAAATGTGTGTGAGAGAGAGTTTGCCAAAATATTTTTTTGGTCAAAAACAGAGTAAAGGAACAGCTCTCTTTTGATTGTAGAAGACTGTATTCATACTCTTACTATTCCTTGTGTGAGGACACCCATTGTCTTGACCCCACACATGTAATTGGTGATGTTGCCACAGAATGTTTTATTTAGTGCAATGTAGTGCAAGATAAAAGCACCAGCCTTTTACTCCCTAGAGGTGTAAAGCACAGACTCACTCAGCTTTGGTTACACGTGGGCGTCAGTCCATCTGCCTACAACCAGGTATTGAGTTTTGGTCTTTCCATTCGTTCTGGTTTTTGCCTGTTAGCTAGTGGCCACACTGCTCACAAAGCTCTGTTCCTGGGTGAGTTGGCCTGCAGTGGAGGGACAGGAGACAGCCTCTAGTTACCCAAGTCAGTCGTGGCAGAAAAAAAAACACATGTCCTCCATATCGGCACCAAGAAGAATGTAATCAATATGATCGTTGTCAGACAATGGCAGTGGTTCCTGGCATCTCACAGACAGTGTCTGGCAGCCCAGACAGAATGTTGTGTGCTGGAAACCTGCAACAACATGTTGACTAACTGGCACACATCAGACAAAGTGACAAACTACCACTGTAGAGACACAATTCAGCCCTCAGAGGAAGCAGCCCAAGTTGCAACTTCACTATAACGTACATTTTGGAGCCACTTGTTGGTGCTGCTGCATTTGGACACCAGAGCTCTGCTGAACTGTCGTGGATGATTACTGGGTGAGAGCAGAGAGAAGGGAGAGACAGACCAATGGAAGCTGTCATACAGAGTCTCAACCTAAGCGGTTGAAATGCAGCTTTACAGGGCATCCATGACAGCCTCAGAGGGCGTCCTGGTAGAACATCCGAGCTGAGAATATGACTGGTATTACCGGGAGGGTGGAGAGAGCGAAGGAATTGATTGAAAGTGATGGAAAGTGGTGAAAGAGCTGGAGAGAGGCTCGCAATAAGAGAAGGGAAACAAAAAGAATTAGCAGCTCTTTTTTTCTTAATATTTTCATTGTGGTGCCTTCTATTTCAGAGGGAGAGAAATCCTCTCGGCTGTATATCTCCTCAGAGGATTGCAGGATGGGCTATATACACAAGTCACTAAAACTGGAATTGATTTCCATTTCTTATCTAATAAGAATAGAGATGCAATTATACTATCAGGTTGTGGAGGGCTAGAGAAAGGCCTTGAAACCCTGAAGTCATTGGTTAATGAGCCCAAGAGCCAGAAAACCTTAAGACTCTGGACTGCTCACACTCCTCTCCCATTTGTATGCTTGAATAGTTCAGAGTCTACACAGTTGAATAGGATGTTTTTCTGTAGGAGTGTGCATGCTCAAAAAGCACACGCATATACAGACTGTCACGGGAGTTCACGGTTAGGACCCAATAGCAAGACCACAGGAGGCAGAAGTTGGAATAAACAGGTTTTATTTAGCCTGAATAAAGAAGGTGTGTGAAGGTGTGGAGCCCGTGGTCCGACACCAGAGAGTAGGCAGATCGACGGTGTGAGTCCCGTGGCTCGACACCGGCGAGCTGGCAGCTTGACGGCGTGTGTAGTCCGCTAACACAACAGAGGGCAGAGCGGCGGTGTGTAGTCCGTTAACACAACAGAGGGCAGAGCGGCGGTGTGTAGTCCGTTAACACAACAGAGGGCACGGGGAATTCCCGGACCGACGGACACCGGAGGCAGGCGCTCGAGGCAGAAGATGCAATGGGGTTGAAGCGGGTGAAAGACGGTACGACCCGACAACCCCAGACTGCAGGACCAGAGTTTATATAGTGCCAGGGAAAGCGTTAGTGGGACCTGAGTCTGGTGCGTCAGCCTGCAGGAGGTAATCGGCTGGAGTGGCTGCAGCTGTGTGGCCATCGGAGGTGCCTGGTCCGACAGGGATCCTGACAGTACCCCCCCCCTCAAGGAACGGATTCCAGACGTAGCTACACCGTCCACAACAACAAACAAGGGTGGGCAGAGGGGGTCCGGAGGAGGGACGTCCCAGCAGATACAAAGCCAACCAGGGTGGGCGGAGGGGGTCCGGAGGATGGGTGACTGGATCTGACCAGCCACGGGGCTGCAGAAGAGCTTCGGACACGGGTGCTCCGGCGGACGGCCGGGGCGGGCAGAAGGGCTCCGGACACGGGTGCTCCGGCGGACGGCCGGGCGGGCAGAAGGGCTCCGGACACGGGTGCTCCGGCGGGCTGGACTCGGACTCTCTGAGTCGGGGCTCCGGGGAATAGGATGCTGGTCCAGCGGCGGCAGGAACTGGAGGTCGCTGCAACCCGAAGGCGGCGGCAGGCACTGGAGGTCGCTGCTGCTCCGAGACGGCGGCGGCCGGGACTGGAGGTCGCTGCGGTTCGGAGACGGCGGCGGCCGGGACTGGAGGACGCTGCGGTTCGGAGACGGCGGCGGACGGGACTGGAGGACGCTGCGGTTCGGAGACGGCGGCGGACGGGACTGGAGGTCGCTGCGGTTCGGAGACGGCGGCGGACGGGACTGGAGCTGGCTGCTGCACAGAGGCGGCAGGAACAGGAGCTGGAGTTCGCTGCGGCTCCGAGGCAGCAGCTAGATATGGTGTCGGCCGGAATGCCGTCCGAATATGGGGAGCCGGAGTTGGCCGGACCACCGAGTGTTCCGCTACACCTTCTTGGCCCCGTCTCCGGCTGAGAAGGTGCTTAGCCACATAATTGGAGGCCACCGGAGGATCAAAAACTCTCCTCAGATCCTCCACAAAGTCCACAAAAAGCACAGCATTTGGCCGATCAACACTTAATGTTATCGCGGCCCAGTCCAAAGCCCTTCCCCGCAGTAATGCAACCACGTAGGAGACCTTGGACCCGTCCGAGTCAAAAGTCTGAGGCTGACGGTCAAATACCCGTTGGCATCGCAACAGGAAGCCCTGGCACTTCCCCAGTGTTCCGTCATAGGGATCTGGAGCCGGCACGGGGGATTCCCAGACCGGCGGAGCGAGGACAGGAGGGAATAGTGCGGGTGCTGGAACTGGTGGAGACTTGACTGTCCGGGCTAGTTCCTGCACGAAACAGCTAATCCGAGAAACTTCAGCGGCGAAACTTCTCATCTCCTCC